GAATGAAAATCTCAAGTCTCAAGAACCGAATGAAAATCTCAAGTCTCAAGAACCGAATGAAAATCTCAAGTCTCAAGAACCGAATGAAAATCTCAAGTCTCAAGAACCGAATGAAAATCTCAAGTCTCAAGAACCGAATGAAAATCTCAAGTCTCAAGAACCGAATGAAAATCTCAAGTCTCAAGAACCGAATGAAAATCTCAAGTCTCAAGAACCGAATGAAAATCTCAAGTCTCAAGAACCGAATGAAAATCTCAAGTCTCAAGAACCGAATGAAAATCTCAAGTCTCAAGAACCGAATGAAAATCAAGAAGCGAATTTGAAACAACTACAGAGAGCATCATTACTCTAAACCGTCATAGTCAATTCGTTAAGGATCGATCAAATTCAAAATCGCGAATTCGATTCCTTTCGGCGGCAAACTTTTCCTTTTCCGTTAAACTAGTCCAGACAGACGTGGTGCCGAGTCTACCGTCCTTAAACATGCCGGAGTGCAGACACTGATCGGTCGCCATAACATTCCAATCAAACGGAGAGAGATCTTTTGATTAAAAAGATAACCTGCTTTCCAAAGCGTTTGAGAACGTAAAGCAAAGCGATCCGCATCCGCTCTGCTCACACCGTATTTTGCACCTAAGTTTTCGGCTGTCATTGCCATGGTAGTGTTGATATGAGGGTCGTTTAAGCATGCCCATAACGTGTCTTCGAGCTGTGTAAATAATCTCTTTCATTTGCATAAAATCAAACTATTATAAATATTCCATCTGCGAAAGATTATTCCTTTGATTGCAAATGACTTCATTTTATGCAATGAAAATATACTTTTTCATCAACAGTACCAAAATAAAACCTCATATTTGACTCCGAGTTGGGTACCGAATCGGATGTTACGAGCCGCAAATGGCGTTTGACTCATATTCTCTGTTCCACCAGCCAACACGAACTTCGATTCACCGAGCAGAATTTGCTAAATAAAAAGAGTGTGACCTGTGATAATTGAATCGGGTTTGTTTCATTTGTGTTACTGCGTCGGGATTGTAAGTTGGAACGTTGCACATTCAAATGAATTGATACGAAGGTTCATTTAGTAAGATGTGATGTGATATATAACAAATTCGGTGGCAATGAAGAAGAGTGACTTAGATGAAGTTCAGACTGGAAGAAGCAAACGATGCATTACTCGGAAGTAAAACTGTTAGATGAATAATGGACAATTGCTCATCGCAATTCGTTTGAACATATTACGTTAAGGTGCTGTGCTGATGTGGAATGATAGTGTAGGTTTTGCAAATGATGACAATATAAACCAGGTAAATCATCTGGCAATAGCATTGGGAGGGTTTTGTGAAAAATATAATCGCTTTACCTCAGCTGCATTCACGATCACTTGAAAGCCCGATCCACAAATACGATTCACACCCAACGCGGGTGCATTTTCCGGTACACCCAACCTGAGACCGACGTGTCTCGGTAAATAGATTGCATCCACACTTGACTGAATCACATTCCCTGAAGCAAGCCAACAATATCGTCGAAAAGAGTAAATCAAAACCAGAACATGAACTTTCAACAAAAGTACACACTTATGAGAGAATGATCACAAACCGAAAATGACATGATCAATGCATTCTGGCTTAGTGTTTGTCTCATTCAGAACAGCACGACCGGCAAACTCGGCCAAATCGATTGCCGTAAAGTTCTTCAGTGATCCGCCATATGTTCCGAATGCGGTTCGTTTTGCACCAACAATGAAAACACCTTCAATTTCGTTATTATCACACAAACATCACTCTCGTTCACTTCACTTTAGATGTTAACTTGATCATTAGTGTGCTCAAAATTGGGAGCGTATTTCAATGCATCAGACGAGAACGCTGGGAAGTATGAAATAAGCCGCAAGTTTCAGATAAGAGTTTTGTGATAGCTTGCTTAGATTAAGGAGCGATTACGTCTGATCTTCGTCGTCTTCATATACAATTTGAATAAAATGGAGGGCTTGCATTTGAATGAAACAACTTTTCCAAATGAAGGAGCTTTTTTTGAATGACGAGAGTTTGAAGAGACGTGTGAAAGTAAAATTTCCTGCACTGGCTCATGTTTAAGAGCAGCAGCTCTACCACTGGACATATTCTCAAAGCAGCACCGAGAAGGTGCGATTGCACGAATTTGTTTAATGTTTTTAAGAATGGAAAATTGAGAAATTGAAAAAAAATGTTTTGGTTATGAAGTGACTTCGCATTACGGTAAGAATACACATAAGTTCACGCCGATCACAATGCATTCGCATGGTGATAATAATTGTGTTCAACAGCATCAGTGAAATAAATGGTGCTTATTGCATATGCATTTTTGTGTTCACCTCGAAAAATTCTATTGAATTGCCTTTTATTGGTAGAGTGGTATTGGAATGAACTGTTCTGTTGTTGATGATGGAGATAAGCAATGATAAATTCGAATACGTATAAATAACCAACCACCAGCTTTTGAAAAGGCCATTAGAGTGAAATCGAGATGAGAATACTTCAAGTGTTTAGTAGATGTTGTTTGAAATGACTGACTGAACGAAACACCAACCTAAATTATACAGGTGAATAAGAGACTAATGCTTGTAAATATCGTTATTTCCGCCCTCAAACGATAACGATAACGATTGCACATAAGTTATATTACATCATACTACAACGTTCTCTTCTCCGATGACTGTTTATTGACGACCTTTGTAGGGTGATTGCAATCAGAGTAACAGCAAATCTTATTATTATTCATTTATTGATTAACATTCGATCAACGATCACTCGCGCATAACACAAACTTGGGATTATGTCACAAACACTGCTCATCGGATAGATTGCTTCAAGCATCATCTCATCACTGTATTCGTCTCGTGCAAGAGCTTTCTTCCCCTTTCAGTTCATTGCTATTCCCTAATCACGAAGTTGCTTGCTTGCGATTATTATTATTATTATTATTGCAGTGATCAATGGAAACGAATAACAACAGATGAATGCACAATCAGATGTATAGATGATTCATTTATTTATTAATCAATGCACCACTCACTTATCAATCAGTTTTACATTTTTGTTGTACGTTACCACAAATGAGATGATGCTGATTACCGTTGTCATTTCGAAATGCAAACATAGCAAAGACAATGAAAAGAACTGAAAAAAGAGTGTGAACATAATTGATCAAGATCACGAATAAATGCATTTCTGCAATGCGTTGCATGTGCAGTGTTGCAACGAACAGGAACACAGAGAAGATGAATGCAATGAGCAGTCGATTCATAAATAAACTTGATGGCTGATCGATGATGCACTTATCAGTGATCTTTGAATTGATATCATCGCCAGTCTTACACGGTGTTGATGAAGTGTTCTTCTGGGGTAACAACTGGAAGACAATGGTGGACAGATGTGAAGGTTTCAGGTAGTACCTTAAATGGGTTAATTTCTATGTTGAAGATATAATTTTATAAACTGAAATAACGAAGACCTTCACATGTGAAATGTGTTTGGAATAGCTTGAGATTGTCAAAAGATTGATGCACATTATGAAGCAATAAGATTTTTTGAATGAAGAATGAAAAAATGATTACAATTTTGAGTGAAATGATAGAAAATGAATGTATTGTTAGCAATAGTGATGTCGTGAATTAGGATATTCACGATCACTTGAATATTCTATTTTTGAAATATATTGAAAGTATTGTATGTTATTTTGTTCGTAATATCTTATCATCGCCTCGTCTTTGTTCCTTTGTCTATTATCATTATTCTCTGAGCATTTCGAGTGATTGATTCATTTCGAAGATCTTGTTTATCATCATTAATCCCTAAGCAACTCGATGTATTGATGTCGAGGATTTNTTTATCATCACTAATCTGTGACCCATTCGATGGATTGCGACGGTTTTTGGAAGTGTACCCCTTTGATGAAGTGATATTCATTGTTGCGAAGTGTTCGTACAAGTAAAGGTTTTTTCGTTTCCTGTGATCGTCCAACTACTCGAGATACGAAATCTCCCTACTTCACTACAACTGATAAAATGACAGTAATGGAATGATTTTGAAAATAGTACTGCTGATAATGTATAATATTTTGAAATGATTTATTTGCTGGAGAATTTCTCCAAGAAGAGTTGAAATTCTTGGGTAATCAAAATAAGATGAACTTGCACTACTCACTCCATAATCCAGTAGATGACAAACGAATACGCAAGATAGAAACACGGATTCGCATGTGCTGGCCATAGTTCATACAGTTTTTGTAGTTTTTCTGATTCAATCATTCGGATATTATTGCTGAGGAAATCGTCTTGCAACTGAAAATACAGACGAAACTAACATTGAACGACGTCTTGAGAAATACGATGGAAAGAATGAATCGTTGAAATAAGTATTACTAATATTCACTGAAAATTTTGGTGAAAACAATTAAAAATGGTAAAAGCACTCGAATATGTATTCGACTTTTAGTTCAGCGCTTGTCATTATCTCAGTAGCGTTTGATTTGAATAATAAATTCAATCGATCGAAGTTTACAGTAGAGATTACAATCTGAGATGCTTCACTGACGACTGCAAACGAACCTTCATTCATTCAAGACTGAGGAACAAAACCTCATCTCATCGATAGATTTCGTTTCTCCGATATAACTCGTGCTAATTTCTGTGATATGATTATGAGGCCGACTGAAGGTTCTGAATGATGAATGAGATTGAAAAAATCACCAAATAATCGCATTACTAATGACCTTTTCAATTACTGGAATGTGAGCGACTTGAAATAACACCTTCGATAGTGCGAAGTTCAGTGATGAGGCAATGAGAAGACGTAAACAACCTTCAA